GGAAGCTCTCCCCACACTCCAGGCACTTGTACGGTCTCTCTCCCTTCTGGGCCCTGCGCTGGGAGATGAGGCTGGAGAAGTCCTTGCAGGTCTTCCCGCCGTCTGGGCACGTGTGGGGTCGTTCTCCCGGGGGATTTCTTTGGTGACGTCTCATGCTGTTAGGACTTGCGGAGAAAAACTAACTCTTCAACCGTGAAGTTGTACAGTGGGTGTGTTTATTCAGCGCTGGACGCATGGGGGATCGCTCCACCACAAACATGCGCACTCTCCGTCGCTCTTGCCTTGCTTCTATGTTACAAGGTATTGCATATTTACAAAACACCTATACATATACATAATCCATCCCTGCCTCTCCTCGCTTCTTATTGTAATTAGGTCTCCTCCCCTCTGCGTCTGCGCGGTGAGCTCCTACGGTCCTGGGCAGACGTCGTAAAGATGAAGTATCTCCTCTTCCTCGCAGTTGAACTTTTCACCCTGCCGCTTCGCGCAGTCTCTGTTGCTCCCTGGCCTCTGGGAGCCAGTTTGTGCTGGAATTTGGGATAATTTTTTGCTGACACATGCATGTTTAGGGGAGGAAGGGGAGACTTCTATTCAACCAGAAGATAGTAGCTTGGCAACACAATCAGCACCCGGCATGTCTACGCTCACAGCCCCCAGCCTTGCACAGGCCTAAAGTTTGATCTTTCTGCATCCCCTAAACTTCCCATATCAGTTACTCAGCGGAAGATCTTCCCACCCTGGGGGCATTTAGAGGTCCCCCGCGTGGCGCGGGCTTGCTGGTGGCTGGGTGGGTGTTCTTCCCGCCATCCCCTTGTCCCGGCGCTGTCTGCTCCTCCTTGCTCTCCAACTCCTCCTCCAGCACCGGGGGTGCTTGTCCTGGCTCCAGCTGGGTGCTCGGTGCCTGCAGGAGAGAAATCCATTGCACTCAGCCATCGCCACCCACCGCTCCCCCAGGGCTGGGACATCCCACGCTAAACCCCCCCAAGGACTCCCCATGGTGAAGGGCTGCTGATGGCTCCTGAGGTCACTTAACTGCCGGAAGGTCATCTCACACAGTGAGCAGCTGTACGGACTCTCTCCGGTGTGGATGCAATTGTGGGTGATGATGTTTGACACAGAGGAGAAGCGTTTCCCACGCGTGGGACAGATAAAGGGCTTCTTCTGGGTGTGTGTCCTCTGGTGAAGCCGGAGGTTTGCTCTCTGCGTGAAGCTCTTCCCACACTCCCAGCACTCATAGGGCTTCTCTCCCGTGTGGGTCCATCAGTGACGCTTCAAACTGGTGCGCCAAATAAAGCGCTTCCCACAGTCCTCACGCTTGTACTGCTTCTCTCTGGACCTACTCTGCTTTGCTTGCATCTTCTTGAGGGACTTCACCACCCGGCCCTTTGAAAGAGCATTTTCAGGGTTCCCTTGTTCCGTGGCTCCCTTGCGTATCATCAGGATGCTGATGGCCATTGTGCTCCACGGCCACCTGGGGCTCCTCACATGAAGAGCAGCCACCTCCTGCATGGCTCTGCCTGCTCGGCTCCCTCCCTTCCCCTCTCCTCCTTGCTCTCCAATTTCACCCCCCTGACACCACCCCCCACATTTGGGAGGACCAGGGATGGAGATGGGGAAGGATTGGGCTCTTGGCTGCTTTCACCCCCAGCGGTTGAATCTGGGATTGAGTAAATAAGAGAAAAATTTCTTAAACCTGTGTGTTGAGGTAAAAATAGTTCAATAGGTGGGGTCAGAGAAAGAAAAAATTCACAGGGCATCATTCTCCCCCACCCATGGGGGGATGGATGCCCAGCCTGTTCCTGACCAAAAACTGGCTAATCACCACCCCCAAACCCCCTCCTTCACATTTTATTGCTGAGCACAATTTAATACAGGTTTAAGCCTCCACCGAGGACTCACCATTGTGGACGGATTCCTGATGCTTCCTGAGGACACACTTTACCCGGAATCTCTTCCCGCAGTGGGAGCAGGGGAACGGTCTCTCTCCCGTGTGGATGCGATGGTGGGTGACGATGTTCGATTTACAGGAGAAGCGTTTCCCACACGTGGGGCAGGGAAAGGGCTTCTCCTTGGTGTGTGTCCTCTGGTGACGCTGGAGGTTTCCTCTCCGTGTGAAGCTCATCCCACAATCCTGGCACTTGTAGGGCTTCTTTCCCGTGTGAGTCCGTCGGTGATGGCTGAGGTTGCTCCCAGAGGTGAAGACCTTCCCACACTGCTCACACTTGTACTCCTTCTGTCTGGAGTTACTCTGTGGTTGGGTTGTGGCTTCCAAAGGGTCTTCAGCGTACGTCCCTTTGAAAGAGCATTTTCGGGGTTCCCCCGTTCCGCGGCTCCCTTGCGTATCACGGGGCTGCTGTTGGCCATCGTGCTCCACGGCCACCGTGGGGCTCTGGGGCTCCTCTTGGGGCCCTTGCAGCATCCCCCTCTGCTCTTCCCTGGGCTGGCACTGCTCCTCCTTCTGCTCCTCTGTCCCAGCGCCTGTGGGGGGCCAAAGGGGCTCAGCTGGGGGCTCTTAAGGCACATGAAG